CCTGGATCATTTAATATTCTGCCTAAAGCATCCTTGATTACAGCAACTCTAGGTTTGAATCTGTTCTTCAGTTCCTTGAGCTTAAGAAATGCCCACAGGTTTGTCCTAGAGAAGATTAAACCAGGCTGCTCCTTAGAAGCAGGGATTCTGAAGTTTGGCCTGACATAATTTGGGTATGATGCAAAGAGGGACCAGTCCTTGGAGAAGAACGTCATGCATGCGAGGTTGGAGGGACAGAGCAGGAGAGGAAGACTCTCTATGAGGGGATTAATTCAGTGTCTGGGGTAATCAGGAGGGTGTGTTGGAGACAGTGAGATTGGCACAGAATAGAGCAGGGTTTAGGGCTGTTGTGCATAGGTTCGCTGTGAGTCACAAGCCACTCGACAGCACATAACAACAACAAAAAAATTAAAGGTATCTTATTCATACTGTTCTGCTTTAATATGATCTACATCTCTCTGACTGTGTTGATGTAAAAAGATTCAAGCTTTGTATCTGTGGCCACTAAAGAAATTTCCAAATGATTTGCTTAATGTTGTGAGGTAAGAAAGCTATTCTAGAAAAGCTTTATGCCAGAAGGCTGCAAAATGCCTGGAACTGGATATGTTCATATCTACTTGGGTATTTTGTGTACTAAGCACTTTATGTTTGATTTTGCTTCCAGTGTTAATATATATTTTGCTTCTTATTCCTTTGTGAGAAAGCCAGTGAACCACAGAATGGAACTTGCTATTGGAGAAAATTTTCAATTTTATTACGCTAACTTCAAGGCTGAAATATAAACTTAGGCTCCTTCTTAGGAGGTCTTCTCCTGCCTACTTCCCCTCCCCATGACTGTGTTAAATATTCGCCGCCACATTTGTAAATTAGAAGATACTTATTTGTCTGCAAAATAGCAGACAAATATATAGGTCAAAGAAACTGTAAACATGGTAATGCAAAGGTGACTGTAATTTAAGGTGGAAGACAGAACAGAGAGGTGGTTACACAGCTGCTTAAAATAGTTGTGGTGACACAAAGGAAAACTGATAATTAGGGATGTTGGTGAAGCTGAGAAGCAAAAGAAAAGGGGTAGTGAGGAGGTAAATGAAGTGGCAAATGTTTGCTAGTCAGATATAAAACAGAAATCATGCACTTAGAAGATTCTGACATCAGTTTCTTTAAAATTTTTTTATTGTGATTTGAGTGAAAGTTTGCAGGGAAAATTGATATTCCATCCATCCATTCATTCATTCACATTTTGATTTTGACATTGGTTCCAATCCCTAAATTCTGTTATCACTGTGAAGTTCCTGTTTCCATTCATCTTGCCATCTTTTTCCTTATTATCTTTGGAAATACATCCTTGGGCAAGTGCTGCCCCTGTGATTCTGTGTGCTAATTATCCTAAGAAACTCACTGATGTTATCATTAACCTTATAGATTTGTAGATTGTTTGACTACGTGTTATAATGAGTTCAGTTCCACGCTCACGGGTCTGCTAAGTGTCATAGTCCCAGAGGTTGTGCCAGCCTTTGTGAGACCACTATTTTGAGGTTTTGTTCTATATTCCTTGCCTGCTCTATCTAAAAATCCAAACTTCAGTTAGAAATCTTGATTTTCCTTTATTCCATTATGGAGGCCTTCTTGTTAGTAGAAAAAATTCTAGAGAACTCATCCCTTTAGCTAACAATAGTCTCTCTTTTCTACTACCCTCCGCTATTATATGATAGATCTTTATTGTTGAAATATAAAACAGCTTATGTAAGACAGCCCCATCTTCTAGTGCTTACCAAAAAAAATTAAAAAGTGAGAGGTACTGCTTGCTATTTCTGATCACCTGCTACGCATCTGAAAGCTGGACAGTGAGTAGGGATGACAGAAGAATCGATGCCTTTGAGCTGTGGTGTTGGAGAAGAGCACTGAGCATCCCATTTCTGTGGGCAAAAAGAACAGACAAATATGTCTTGGAGATGGTGCAGCCAGAGTGCTCTTCAGAGGCAAGAATGATGAGACTTCACCTCACATCCTTCGGGCGTATTGCCAGGAGGGCCTATGCCTTGGAGAGGGACATGATGCTTGAAGAGTTGTTGTTGTTGTTGTTATGTGCCATCGAGTCGCTTGCGACTCATAGCGACCCTATGTACAAGAGCTCTAAACTCCATTGTATTCTGTGCCAACCTAGCCATCTCAAACACACTCATTCCCACCACTCAAGTCGCAGAATCAGTCCATCTCATCGAAGGTTCCTCTCCTTCACCTCCCCTCCACTCTGCCAAATATGATGTTCCTCTCCAAGGACCAGTCCCTCCTTGCAACATGCCCAAAGTATGTCAGACGAAGCTTCAGAATCCTTGACTCCAAGGAGCATTCTGGTTTCACCCTCTCTAGGACAAACCTGTTTGTTCTCCTAGCAGTCCATGGTATATTCAACACTCTTCTCCAGCACCACAGCTCAAAAGCATCAATTCTCTTTCTATTATCCCTAGTCACTGTCCAACTCTTTGATGCATAGCACATAATTGAAGAGTAGAGGGTCAAAAAAGGAGAGGAAGACCCTCCACCAGGTAGATTGACACAGTGGCTGCTGCATTGGGTGCTAATGTGTCAGGAAGTGAGTTGTATTTGACTCAGCGGCACCTAACAACAAGAAGTATATAAGTAACAGTATGTGGAGGATGTGTAGGTAACAGTATATAGCTGATGTGTAAGTCAGTGACAGGTGGAGCTGCGTAATTAAGCAGTTTTTGTCTTTGAACTTAAAAAAAAAAACCTTGAGGTATGTTATTGCAAGTAAGTTTGGGTACCAGAAAGAGGATTATTCTTGAACAAAAAACTTGTGATTAAAAAAAAAAAAGAAACACAGCCTCTTATGTAAGTAGATCAGGGCCAGAACCTATATAAGATTCAGAAGTTAGATAAAAGAAACAGTGAAAAATACATGGATAAAAAAAAAATTAACCTCTAACCTTTATACCTGAGGTAGCCAGTTTGAATAGTCTGCTTTAACTAAGGGGTGTATCTGTATGTACTTATAGTACTTATACTTTGTTGTTAAACACAGACCACAGTACACACTGCTTTACACTTTTGAGTTTCTCACTCACTATATCTTAGCCTTCTTTTTTTAATGATATGTATAAAATTACCTTTTT